CTCGTAGCCACAGCATCATCCAACTCGGCCTTCAGCTTCTCCTCTCCCGTCCGAATATCTGTGATCTGCGCCTCCATCTCCGCAAGCCGCTCCTGGTGCTCGAGCAACTGTTTACTCGCAGCCTCAGCCAACTGCCCCTGGCACTCGGCCTCACTCCGCGCCGCCGCTAGATGGACACTAAACTCGGCCTCGCGCTCCTTCGCGTTCACGACCTGTGTCTGCAGGCTGTGCAACTGGCGCTGGAGCTCTGAAAGGCGCTGTTCGCCCCCGACAGTCGATTGTTTGTACTGGTCGCGCAACTTGATCACGTCGTCGAGTTGCTGACGCAGCTGGTCCAGTTCCTCGGTCAGATCCGGCCGTACAACATTGGACTTCGCCTCTTCTTCGAGAAGTCGGGCTTTCAGATCCGCATTCTCGCGTCTCGAGTCTTCGATTTCGCGCGTGGATTTCTCAAGACCAGACTCCAGGGCCGATCGCTCAGCTTCCAGCTTCCGTACCTCGGCCTTCGTGTCCTCGAGCTCCGCAACCAACCCTTGACGTAGCTGCTCCAATTCCTCAGTCCGGATATGAGCGTTCGCGACCTCGCCCTCGAGGCCCTCGACCCGTTCCCGTTCAGCTCCAAGCTTCGCCTCGAGCTCCGAGCCGTAGGCCAGGACCTCCGCGAGCCGGGCCATTGCATCAGCGAGTTCTTGCCGCAGGGCATCTTCCGATGTCTTGAGCGCGCTCAAGCGGGCATTGAAGTCGGCATGCGCTTGCTCGAGTTCCTTATGTGCGGTGTCCAGTTCGGCTTCCAGTTCCTTGCGAGACGAGTGCGCAGCTGCTAGTTCGCGGGATTTGTCCTCACCGCCGGCTGCATGCTCGCGGCTGCGCGATTGCTCCTCCTTTAGCTGTGCCTGCAAATGCGCGATGCGGGCCTCGAGATCTGAGATCGAGGCCTGCGCGGAGGACATCTCGGTCCTGAGGGTTGCTTCCACGGCTTCCAGTTTAAGGCAGCGGTCGACTTCGGCGCGAAGGCTCTGCTGTAGCCGGGAATCAAATTCTGCGTGCGCTTGCTCGAGTTCCTTGCGAGTGCTATCGAGCTCGGCTTGTAGTGCTTCGCGAGACGAGTGCGCAGCCTCCAGTTCGCGGGACTTGTCCTCGCTACCGGCAGCATGCTCGCGGCTCCGCTCTTGCTCTTCCCCGAGCCGTGCCTGCAGATACGCGACACGGGCCTCGAGATCTGAGATCGATTCCTGTGCGGAGGATACCTCAGTCTTGAGCGCGGCCTCCACGGCCTCGAGTTCGAGGGAGCGGTCAACCTCAGCGCGAAGACGGTGCTGCAGCCGAGAATCTTCCTGCGCGAAGTTGGCCAGTGTGGCCAGTGCCGAGTCGAGTTGGCCTTGGGTGCAATCCGCGCGCTGTTTGACTTGTATATTGTCGGACTCTAGGCCGGAGATTGTGTGCTTGTCCTTCTCAGCGGCGGCTTGCAGGGCCTTTTCGGATTCTTGCACTGCAAGCAGTTTCTCGTGCTCATCCTTTAGTTCTTGGAGCAGTTCGCTGTGGGATGTCGTTACGCTCGATAGGGATTCCTGCACGGCGGCAAGTTCGGCTTCGACTTTGCTGCTGGAGTGCTGCGAGGCTGTGAGACGCGACTCTGTATCCTTGAGACGAGTTTCGAGGTCGGTAAGGTTGGCGAGCGCCTTTGCGAGGTCCGCTTCGGTATCGTTCGCCTTCCCTTCCAGAGCTTCGATCTGCGCCGCGCGGTTCCGTAGCTGGCCCTCAAGATCCACTTTCTCATGCTCAAGTTGCTCGATATGCTGTACGTTCGCGCCGAGATCTCCCTTCAGCCTGTCCAGGTCGTCCAGCACACCTTCCAACGTCTTCGCCAGCTCATCCTTATCTTCATTCAGACTCTTGATCTGATGTATAAAGTCTCTCCGCATGCTGTCCCACTCACGCTTCTTCTCTTTCAACCCCGCAACCGCACCATCCCGTTCCACTAAAGCCCCTTTCAGGTTCTCAACTTCCCTCACTGCCTTCCTAACTCGTTCTTCTAGTGCCCTCTTTTCCTTCTCCAGTGTAATCATCTGTGCACTCTGTGACCCAAGACTTCCCCTGAGCGATGCCTCGCTAGCACGCAGCTCGGCAACCGAGCGCTCAACAGCCGCATAGTCGTAGAGCAGTTCGTGTACACGCGCCTCGCACACAGCCAGCATATCCTGCTGCCTCTGAGGTTGTGAACTGATATACCCAGTCGGGACGCGCCTCAACTTGCGGGTATCGGGGCTCTGAGGGGGTGACAGCGGCGGGGTCATATACGAGATGTCGAGCGGCTGGCCTGTGTCATCTCAGCCCAACTCCTTTCAACGAAACCAACAGACAAAAGAAAGAACTTACCACGACTCCTCCCGTCCAGCGCCCTAACGAGCTCCGCCCCCCTCCGCTCCACCCCCTCCAACTTCCCTACCAGATCACGCACCACATCCTCTCTCCTCCTCTCCGCTTTGTACGCCGCGCCCCGTGCCCCCTTCAGCGCCTCACTCTGCGCACGAATCCTCGCCTCCCTCACGCCGATCTGCACCGCCAGCCTAAGAGCCAACTTGCGCAGCGCGCTCGCGGTAGTGGCATGGCGCTGGGCGACGGCGCGCTGGGTGCTGAGCTCGGCCTTGAGGCGATCGCGCTGGAACTTGACGATGCCGACGTGGCCGAGGGCTGAGAGGTTGGATTCTAGTTCGCGTTCTAGTTCTGAGGGTGTGGCCGAGATAGTGCTGTGGGAGAGGGAGGGCGATGGGGATGCCGGGCGGGGGATGTGGGCCGGGGAGCTGACGGTGCGGTTGCGGAGGGGGGAAGGTGGGTGCAGAGTTGATGAGGAGGAGGGGGAGGGGCTGGTGTCGCGCTTTGTTTGGGAGGAGTCGTTGCGCTTGAAGCGCTTTGCGGCGAGGTAGGAGATTGAGCGGTCCATGGCTGTGTCGGTAGGTGATGGGTGTTCCGTGGTGATGTGAGGGGAAGGAGTGTGCGATGCAGCGGGGTGCAGATCAGTCTCAAAGTGGGAAGGACATCATAATCGCCTGTGTATGACGAGGGCAAAGGGTGAGGATGGAAGAAAGGAGGTTCAGGTGTGACGAGCGCACGAGACGCAAAGAGAAGAGTCTGGAGATTTGGTAGAGGGACTGGGAGAGCTGAAGACTAGTGAAAAGATAACGCCATTTCCAAGGCTTGAAGACAGCAGCTGCGGGGCACAGAAGGGCTTCGGTCTAGTCGTAGCGACCAACGAGTGGATCATCCCATCAACCGATCAACCCATCAACCCATGATAACTGACCGGAGCAGGTAAACAAGGCAATCGCCTCACCCTGCGCGTCAATCATGTCAATCAACCCCCTCTTTCTTTCCCTCCAATCCTGCGGCATTCCAGACCACCACTTACCCGTCACGCCCAGCGCATCTGATGATCATCCCCCAAGCTGGAAGGGTCAATCACTGCACTCGAACACTCCGGCCTTGCCGTTAGCCGGAACCAAAAAAAAAATAAGATAAAAGAACCGGAAGGCAGTAACATGGACGCCTCGGCTTGTCCAGTGCATTGCGTTGGGCAGGAACTTGACGCCGAGCGCGGAAGAGGAACCGGGATGGCCGAACCATCAAAGCCCGCCGACATTTTCCGCAGCTCCGGACCGACTCCATTGATCGTGTCGAACTACGCTGGATGTAGGCATTTTTCTATCAGCTGCTATGATGTATTTTCGCTCGAGCATAAAGCATTGAAGGCCCAGGATGTCCAGGAATGACCAAAAATGCCTCCAAAGCCGGTCGGACAGGCAACCGGGACGTGTACCGTGGATTCAAGAGCCTATGACGTATGCAGGTCAAGACTTAAACGTCGTGATATCGGTTTGCTTCCACGGGAATGCGTGATTCCGTCGACACGCTCAGCGCAACCTCACAGCGCGGAGAAGCACAGTGGATTCATCCTCGTCGTCGAGACATCGACATACAGTACCGTAGTAAATCCACGCTCTCGGGACATCGTACGCTGGCGCAATCGCATGCCACAATTCCGATGCCCAGCTGCCGGCACGACCGGCCAGGGGCTGTCCGATAAAGTTGTGGCCGCTTGGATACGCCAAAGCGACTACGCCGAACGGCCACGACTTTTCCAGGTAGCTTCCCGGCCTCGGCCCAAGCCCTCGGCCTCGTACAAAGCAGCCCGATCTCCAGCGCACAACCACCAAAGCCCGAAAAATTCCGCCGCGCAGCAGTCCACACCAGCCGCAATCTAGCGCGCAAGACACCTGCATCTCATACAACAGCATGCCGTCTCCCCGCAGCCCACTGCCCGCCATCGTAGCGGCCACAGCTGAGCGATCCCGGCCGCGTTCGTGGCCCGCCCCGATTGGCACACTCACAGCAGCCGCGGGCCACTTATAAAAATCATCGTCGTCCCGCTTCTGCGTCTTCGCGGATGGGGTGGCTACGATATTTTCGCATAGACCTTGAGCCTCGTCCGCGCCTTGCGCCGTAAGCTCGACGTACCCTGCAGGCACGGTATCGACCGCTTCGCCCCGCCTTGTGCTGGCTTCCCGACAGTCCCTGCCATCTGGTGTTGGTGCTGCGCTGTCGACGGCAGACCTCACAGTTGTGCTCTGCAGCTGCGATCTGGACGCCTCGTGGCGGGGCGCGGCGCGGCTGGCTTTGGCGGGGTGGCGCGGGGCAGGGTGTCGCGATGGGATGGGCGTGCTGTGGTGCGCATGGCTTCGTCTTCGGCGCGGCCGGATGGGCTTGAGCTGTGTTCCGGTCTGGCGCTTTGTTGGCCAGGAACAGGACTGAGGCCTGGCAGGAGAGTTACCGTAGAGATCGTAGCCGTAGTATTGCGAGTCTGTGGCCCAGAAGCCCGCATTTCAGCCCTGTAGTTGTAGAGTGGCAGCATCCCATCTCACCGCAGCAGGAACGACAGACGCTCTCCTCCCGGTTTGCTTTGCACGGTACATGTATGCATAAAATGTTTCAATCTTTATCGATTAGGCAATGTGGCGGAGTGGTTAACGCGCTGCCCTGCTATCTCCGATTCATCGGGTTGTAAGGCAGTTCCTTCGGGAGCGTAGGTTCGAATCCTGCCATTGTCGATTCTTTTTGTCTTTCTAGAGTTGGGATGGAAGCTCTTTTTTGGCCTGGCATCTAAGAAAGTGACTACGGCATCAATGTGCAATCTTGAGTGCCTACGAGGCGACGGAGGGCAGTACGGTCCAATTTCGTGTCATGATGCAGCCTCCATACCACCCAACCTCACCTCCCCCACTCTCTAAACCAGCGTCCAACACGCCACGCTATTAAACTGCCAACTCGTCCAATTCCCCTGCCTCCACTTCCCCCTCGGATACCCACTCTCCCACTCCTTTATCGTGAGTCCCCTCCCATCCCGATCCATCCGCTTCTGGAGGTACATAGCCTTAACATCCCTCCCCCTTCCCACCCTTTCCAAATCCCGCCGACTAACATCCGCCCACCACCAATACCCATCACTCTGCACGGGCTGAAACACCGGCTCGCCCTTGTCGTCCTTCAGCTCAATGAGAAACAGATACGGCTTCCCATGTCCCCTTGCCTCATGATCCCAGTGCGCACACACCGCATGCCACGCAAACCGCACACTCGGTTCCGGGCCGTTCACGGGGATGGCCTTGAAGTGCGGCTCGAAGCTCTTGTCGTCGAATCCGTGTATGTCCTGCGCGCCTGTGTATACGGTGACGGGCTCGCCGCCGGCATCGGATCTTTTGTATTCTTCCCAAGAGATGGTCCGGCGGCCGTCGTCGCGGAAGAAATACCTGTCGTCGAACGGGTAATGCGTGAGTCCGAACTCGTCGTTGCTCATCGTAAATTGACTTGGGTTGAAGGATTTCTTGTACGGTTCGTTGGGGCCGTTGACTACGCCCGCGCCCCAGCACGCGTCGAGCAGTTTCCATTCCCCTCCGTCGATGCGCACGGCGGACCAGGCGTGATTTGCCGCACCTCGAGGCGGAACAGGGTCTCCCGGTCCAAGAGGTGTGTGGCCGTAACCTGTCTCATCAGCACCACACCACAACTACAAAGAAGAAGCACTCACCCTTCCCATCGCCCCCAACAACAACAGCCTGCAACCCCGCCTTCGCCGCCAACGCAGCGTAAAGACCCGCATACCCCTCACACACCGCGAGTCCACTCGCCACCGTCCCGGCGGGCGTACTCGCCTGCAAATTACCACTGAAAAAGGCCTGTGTGTCATACGCTACGTTGTGATGCAGCCATGTGAATATCGCTCTAGCTTTGTCCGTGTCTGAGTTGAACGGCTCGGTCAGGGCACGCGCAAGCCAGCCGACGTCGTGTGAGGGGATGGCCTCCCGTGGAAAACGCGCGGCGTGCGCATCGACGGCACTGAAGTCCCGGCACTTCAGGCACTCGCCCGCACGTTTGCTTGCGATGGGTTGAGCGGCCTGGGCGGCGACATTAGGCTTAGAGGCCAGCGGGACGGGAGGCGGTTTAGCGGCAGCGGCTTCCGGTCGCGCGACGGGTACGGGGGGTGGGACGCCAGTGCTCTTGTTCAGGGCGTAGTCAAGCGGGGACCGGCGCGGGCGCTGGATTGGTGCGGGGTCGGCATCCTGCGTATCCCTCCGTGCCGGAAGCGGGGGCCGGGACGGGAGTTTCGGCACCCCATTCGCGCGGGGTACGGCACCGGGAGCAGAGACCGTAGGCCGGAGGGGGATACGTTCTGCCTCGCCTGTGTTGCGGCGCTCGGGTAGCGGGGGCAGGATCGCTGGGTCATATTCCGGGGCGCGGATGCGCGGGACAGAGGTCTGCGAGTTGACGGAGGTGGTCGTGCGGTTCGACAGCGTGGACGCGAGACTGCTCGCCGAGGACTGGTTCCTTAGGACGCGCGAGGGCGGGCGGGACGGTAGGGCTGGGGGAGTGTTCGTGGGCGTGATTGAGGAGCGGCGGGGGGGGAGGGGGGGTGTAGCCGCTCCGCTTGGGGCGGGGACGGCGCCAGACGGTGTATTGCCGATTGTGCGGTTCGCGGTAGGCGGAACGGGGACAGACTCGGTGCGGCGGTCTCCCGCCGGGCGCTTGGGCAGCGGCGGCGGGGGCTTCTTCTTCGCAGCGGCAGCATCGGGGGGAGAATTGCGGCCGACCTGGTCGAGGCGGAGGGCGGCGATGCGGGCCTGGATGGAGGTGCGGGGGGTGTCGTCCATGGTGGCGTCGGGGGCCATGCTTGCCAGCTGTAACACACTCACGTCGTTTCCAGCTCCAGCGTCTCAGAGATGGAGTAAGGACGACAACAACAAACAACAACAACCCAAACAACAGTGGTGAAGAAACGCACGACGTCCCCCCTCAAACAGGGAACCAATGGTGGCACAGCCTCGTTGTTTTCCCCACCTCAAACAGACCGGCAGCTTAGCGCGGCGGCTGCGGGCCGGCTTGGCAGCCACGGGGGAAGCCACGGGCGCAAGCCAGCGGGCGCGAGACCAGCGGGCGAGAGGTTCGTCGTACGCGCGCGGTCGACGATGAACCAGCGGCTCCTTTGACAATCTCTCTGAACGGCGGATGTGAATGGCGCGGTGCGGAAATTGAAGATGTTTTGTCCAAGTTGCTGATCCTCTGACGTTGAGCTTGACACCCGACTAGCGGACGGACTTGTGGGTTAATACCGTATCTGTGGGGGCCGCGGGTGGGTGGCTGTGCTATTTTAGGCGGGCCGCCATCCGTCCGATCTCCTGGGGGCGGCAATGTGGCTTGAAATCTTCCTCAGGCCTCTTTCAGCCTTAAACAAGCCCCTGCCTCAGGCGCAAATCGTGGTCATTGTCATCCGTCATCCGTCACTCTCCTGAGAAATAGCTTTCATGAATTGCTGCGTGCATCTAACCACAACCGCGCCGAAACCCCAGCGATTGAAAACATTCCTCGCAAATCGGAAAGCCAAAGTACCAAAGCCAAAGACATCAAGCGAAATGACCATTCTGGACCCGACCCCTTTCCCCCACCTATTCCCCACACCGCCTCCAGAGCCGAGCCATCCCATCCCGTTCCCCCAGCATTACGCTGATTCCCCACATCCAGACAAAAGACGCCGTAGGAAAGATCACAACCGATAAGCACCATCATAACCCCGCAGAAAAACACAGGCATGAACGCAACTAACCCGACATTCCTCTCCCGTTCTGTCACAATTGCAACGGCCACCGGGTCGAGGCTATCCAAGCTAGATTGTCCACGCAGAGCAGATAGAGAAAATCACAAGTAAAGACCGACAGCAAGGAAAAAAAGACATTAAATCATTCGCGTGGGTGTAGCAGCGGCCGTGAGGCCGTGTAACCATGGGGCGGGTCCCGATTCGTAAAGTCGTCCCTAAGTCAGTGCATCATCTACCGCTTGCGCTTCTTGTTGTTGCCGGCGAGCGGAGGGGGCGCCATGGATGTCGTTATGCCGGTGAGAGGCGCCTCGATGGCCATGGGCTGGTCCTTCTTAATGATCACCCCCATATGCCGTCCGTAACGTCCCTTGCGGCCATTTCCTTCGTCCTCACTGACGCAGTCATGGATGGTAAGTCCAGCGTCACGGCACCGGCCACAGGGACGCTGGCGATCACATCCCTTCTTGCTCTTGCGGCAGCGCTGGCAGCGCGGCTTGCTCGATAGATCTTCCTCGTCGGGCCCGAGATCAATCTTGGCAGCGGCCGAGGCCGCCGACGTCTTGCGTGATTGTGCCGGCAGCGACGCCGGCGACATGGGCATCTTAGCGCCCGGCTCCGTCTTGACCTTGGTCTTGCCGGGAGCCTGCGTCCGGATCTTAGCAGGCTTCAAGATTTTGCGCGGAGCTGTGGTGGAGCGAGCACGCTGCGGCACGCCATTCGTCTTGGGTTCCAGAGGCTTGGCGAACCCGTTTGCCTCGGGCTGGAGACCGTCGCTCTCCCCCTTGAAAGACCCATCGCGATGGTCGTCACAATCTTCACCGCTGTGGTACTCTTCGCTTTCGTAGCGCCCGCCGTTCGGCTGGGTGCAGTTGTGGGGGGCCTCCTCATCGCTGGCATCGCCCGCAGAAGAAGCCACTTCGGCCTTGCCGCTGAGCGCATCGTCTACCGTAGAGGCCGACAGGCGGCCATGTGACGAGAAGTTAGACGCATCACCCAGACGCATGAGCTGAAATGCGACGTCCTCGTCTGAGATCACGCTGATGCTGGGATCTGGAGTAGGCCCGTAGCCAGGACGCGGCCCGCCATACTGGAAGCTCCCACGGTGGCGAGCTCCGTTCCCCTGCGCGTACGCAGATCCACTCGGCATATGCCATTGTTCCAGTTGCCCGTTGCTCTGCGGGGAAGGAAGAGCAGGTGTGTAGGCAAACGGCTGATGGTATGGGGGTTGGTAGGGAGACGCGCCGTTGTTGCTGACGCGGCGCTGGGGCGAAATGGAAGATTGCGAGGTGTGCATGGGCACCTGCGACGGCACGAACAGTGGCAGCTCCTACATTCTATTAGCAAGTTTCGTGACAAAGACGAGTCAAAACATACTGAGCTATCGAACCGCGGGCGCTTGCGCCGCCCACCCTCGACAATGTTATCGACGCTGATCTCAGCGCTCGCCAAAACATCGACCTTGCCACGGCGCGAGCTAGTGACTGATCCATTGCCGCCTTCGCTGTCGCTACCGTCGTGTCCGTCACCGTGGGCATCCACCAGACTTCCATGTGAGCTGCCCTGGCCTTTGAGATTCGGGCGCGAGCGGAACTTCGCGCTAGTACTAGCTGAGACGCTGCGTTGGCTGCGGTTGGCGGTGGGGGAGGTGCTTCGTTTGAGAAGAGCGCGCGAAGAAGGCCTCGAGATGTCGCGCCCGGGCTGCAGCTCAAAGGGAGGCTCAAGGCGCCGCCGCTTGGGCGACGCCGAATTGCGAGGCGTGCCCGCCGGGTTGATACCCTCGACTACACGAACATAGACTGTCATGTCGTGGTAAAAGTTATCGTACTGGGCAATCAGAGTGTTGCCGTGCTTGTCCTCGAAGCTGATACCGTTGCCATCGTAGAGGCCATAGAAGTTCTTGACCGTGGCAATGATAGATTCAGTGCAGTCGTGAGGCCAGATTTTGACTCTCATCGGCAGGCG